GCGTCCGAGGTAGAGAAGGAAGGCTGGACGCGATGATGCCGGGTGTAGAGACGGTGTTGGTGGATATCGGTCTCGACGATGGAATCGGTCTGGATGTTGACGGTGTATCGACGGCCGTCGGATTTTACTCTCAGTGCGAGGTAGGTGTACGGATCGACGTCCCAGAAGAGTCGGCCGAAGAGCCAGAAGCCGCGGTCGTGGTTGCGGAAGGCGGCGTAGCCTATATTAACATTATCACGCATATTAGCCCTGGTTTTCGAGATGGAAGACGGAAGGATATGGAAGATGGTGTATACCTGTCCGCTCAACCCGCCAGTTCTTGGGAAGCTTTGTCGAGATACTTCCATGGAAACGCGCATGTGCAGGACTGTTCGTGGCTGGGTCCGCAGGGACGTAGTCTAGACTGGCGGTGCTGTAACCTCCGACGACGCGGTCGGCCATGGTCTTGCAGCCGGCGACGGACGACTCATCTTCGAAGTCGAGGAGGACGTAGGGCTTGGTTGGGGTGGAGAGGGCTTCGTTGTTCCAGGCTGGAGTTTCATTTTTATCAATCAGTTTATCGGTCTCGATCTGTTAGTTTGGTTAGTGGAGATGGGGAGAGAGCGCACCGATTCGGGATAGACGGCCGAATTCCTCAACGCTGCGTTTGAGGAAGCCGGATGGCTTTGCAGCTAGGCACCGGGCCGTGGGAAACATGTTAGCTTGGGTAGATAGAAATCAAGCCAATTGGGGGGATGTTGGTGCAGGTGTAAAGTGCCGCGGCGATGCGTCGAGGAGATTCTCGGACCTGCGCATGACGTCGGAATTTCGCTGGCCGTGCGGGCCTGAGGCAGAAGCTGTCCGGTTTGGTCGTCCGGTCTCGGTGGTTGAGGGGTCACCGCCTAGGGAGATATAAATGTGTCTTCGGTGGTTTATGGTAGCCTGGTGTACAAGAAGCTATGACTTGACGATGCAAATATGAAGGTAAGTATATAAGTGGTATTTAATTTGTTCTGTTGTTTGTCGTATATCGCTAACTTTTGTTCATTTAGGGGACTCCTTTGAGAGCAGCTAATATTGCTAGGGCATGGCTTGCCAGTATATCCATTTTAATAGGCCCTAGTCTATGAAATAGCCACTGAATATAGCGGATATCTTTGACGCGGTGTTCTTGAGCAGCATGATTGCTGTTGGCCTACACAGAACTAAGTACTAGTCATGTGTAGGCCAACAGCAATCCTTCCCATCAGCATAGATTCGCCAGTTGTCTTATTCTGCTGGCAGAATCTAATGCGGTGAGAAGATCAGCTGTCATGATATGCGTGTATCCCACCAATCATCTTGCGAGCGCATACATCGGTTGTTGGCCAATGATATGGAAGTGCACGCTGAGTCAAACGACGAGATGGATGCAATCAATGGGTTTTGTTGGACTCGAACTAAACAGTGAAGATGTCTCTAGGAGTTCATACGAGCTATCGGAAGAGTGACCTATATCAAAGCCTTACTGTGGGCCTGTTTTCAAGCGGAAACCACCCCCGAGTGAACAGCCTGCTGCTCTCTTGATATACTGGCATTTTCTGGTGGTGTGGCAATTATCACAAATGATTCCATTTTGCTATATTGGGCAGGCTACAAACAAGTCCACGATCAAATAGCGAGCCCAGAGCGTCATGGAATCCTCATGTCAGGTATATATGCTCTTTATTCGAATACATACATATCCTCAAGCCATTTGACTTTACATCTGTTGAGCCCAAAGGATTCTACAATCTTGCATCAGTAATTTCTTTGCTTCTGAGATAATCCATAACCTCGTCTCGACGTCACAGCCAGGAAGATGCCTTTTGGCCTACCGCTGCGAGGAAACGGCAATTTCCTCAGCCTTCCCTCTTCCCTTTCCTTCCTCACCACTCTCTCCATCCTACACTTATCGGAAATTATTACCTTCTATTGCACCGGCTGATCCCCAACCATCTATTCTCTGCTTGTTCTACAATAAGCCAGATATACTCGCCTCTTTATTCATCCTTAGCCCATATACTACCTTAATACTAGTCTAAAGGTGTAATACAACAGTCGTCATGGCTGCGCCGTTCTTCGCCCCCCATCCCTCAACTCCCCAGCCTCAGCTGTTTCATCCATCCTTCTCTTCTCCTGGACATCAGCCACAGTCGCCTTGGATTACCAGAGGAAACGCCCAGTTAAGGCTCCCCACGAATGCCTGTGTGCATGTGGGAAAGTAAGAACAGCTCTTCATGACGCGTACCTCATTTCCTAGAATCCTAACGCTGTCTAGTCTCTCCAGCGGCGTCTGTCCGAATATCCTCCAGCACGAACTGGAGCAGCTCTTCTCCCAGTTTGGAGCGTGCTGGGCGCAGGTTCGCGCAGGAAGGACGGGTCTTTATAGCGGTTGGGTGCAGTTTACAGTAATTTACCCTTTGCACTAGCGACCGATTTGTATACTATAAAGTAAGATCAGAGCTAACCAACTTCGCTTGCAGGATAGGTCCCACGCTCAAGCAGCTATCCGGCAGCACCAGAATATTTCCCTCAGAGATCGTCCTCTGAGAATAGAGGCTGCAAATGGCCTCAGTATGTCTTCCTTGCTGACTCTACAAATACCATCATGTCTGACAGTATCGCAGGAAACCGTGGAGAGTCGGTGGTGAATCACGATGAAAGGGCTGGGCTAAACACCTCGCCACCACTATATATGCCCTCCATGGCCATACCGCCCAGCCTGCCTGCCGGGTATGGGCCTCCTTTATTGTATAGCTGGTCGCCGGCTGTACCAGTACACGGTAGTGTTCACGTACCTCCTCCTGTCGCCGGTGCTTTACCTCCCGCACCATCGTACCCTACTCGTCACACATTATCATCGCAAGGCCCCAACGCACATACACCACAATCACCTTCCTCCTCTTCTTCCTCGTCAAGCAACAATCTTGACACACAGCCCACGACACCCGGCTGCGATGAAGTAGTAGAATACAAGGCCAATCAAGAAGAGGAAGGCATCGAGACCAGCCGGTCCAACCTTCCCTGTGACATGCTACTATCCACCGGCCGCACAGTTAGGGACTACGTTGACGAAATGAAGAGGGTACGAGGTATCGATCTCAATGAAGAGGCCACCCTTGAACTCATCCTGGAGGTGGAGGAAGAGGCACGGAATCAAGGTCTGTTGCCTGTGCTGACGTCCAAGCCAGACTAAGCGATATCAGTTGGGATGAAACGAGAGGTTTCTTTTAAACAAAAGAGCCTCTATCTCCTTCTTGCTTTTTCTTCCTTCTCTCTCTCTCTCTCTCTCTCTCTCTCTTACCTTCTCTTTTCTCCCTCGTGTTTCTTTCTGGAATATATATACCAATGGCATTTTGAATATACTGGGCTGTCTTTGATCATACCAGTAAAGAAAGACCAAATACTCATATCTGCAATCATTGTCTAACCCTGAGAAAGATATCACACATTGTTCTTCATTTAACTTTATATTCATGTATCCAGACTCAAAAAAGCAAAAACAATAATTGCTTACAATAAGTGGTAATACACCAACAGAATAGTTAGTCTAATATCAACAGCCTACTACATGTCTAAACCCCCACACCCACTCACCCAACCCAGTTCTGAACCCGAACAGCGCAACAAAACGCAGATGCATACTCTTCCATCCCCAAACCCCGGACCTAAACACCAACAACGGGGCTACAGAAAACCCCTTGATCATTCACAGGAGAAGAACAGCAACTAGCCTCCTGCCCTACCTCACCGCAAATAGTCACCAAATCAGCACTGTCTGTTGGCTGTTGGGGAGCTGTCAAGTAGAACATTAGAAGGAATCGAGAGAACGTCTAAATATGATTTCCCCAAGGAATAGACGATCTAGAATCAGCAATATTAAGAAAGCACTGACGATCATTGCAGGTGGAAGAAGAGGGATCCAGGACATCGGTAGCGCAGCACTGGGGGTAGTTTCCCTCAGAGCAGATGGAGGATTGAGCGACAGCGAAACTGGTAGAAGCTGTGAGGAAGAGGGAAACTGTTGTGATGAAGGACTTCATTGTGTTCTGGATTATGGATGTAATAGTGGTAAGAGTGACGAAGTAGTGGTGGAGTTGATGCAAAGAAGCTGGCAAAAACAGACAGCAGATAGATGTTCTTGGCGTTGTTGCGTCTTGCAGAAGAAGTGGTGGATATTACGGACACGATGGATACTGGATAGTAGGGGGGGAGGGAAGAAGAGAAGTTGTGGATCTAAAATAGTACCCCCCTTCTCCCACCCCCCCTCTGTCTCTCTCTCTGAGTAATATGTCTCTAGAAGCCTGTTATTGGGATTTGGGCTGTTTGGGTGAGTAGTATTCCTTTTGCTGAAATACGAATCTATTGGAGGGACTATTGACGGGTTACAGTAGCTGACTTGCAGGGCAGGTAAAGAATTCAATCGGACCACAATTCGAGATAAGGTGTGTCTCAATAGATAGCCGTTAGCTGGATGAGAGTGCATTTTTTTTTTACTTGAATTGCTAGATAGAAATGACTACTTGCTGCCAACGGAATGCGGAGTAATTATTCGCAGTATTGGGGCCAGGGATCTACCAAACTAAGTTCAATAATCTATTATGCTCTCTGAGAAGCTGCATGAAGACTTAAACTAAATAAGCAATAACTAAACACTGCGATACTTTTGATCACGCCCAAACAATTGTGTAGAAAGCGTTGCTACAAGACACTAAAAAGACACCTGCCCACCTTCCCAGTCTTGGGGATACAATGTATGTGTCTTGTACGATTATCGAACCCTAAAATCTTTACATTTCTACAATACTCCATTCAAACCACGTCTATACTCAACGAGAACATTGAAAACTAAAGATTGCCCAGCCATCTATCAAAACAGCCAACAACACTTCACCACAATTTGACACAAAATAACTACATAAGCCTCTCCTAATCACCCAATCCTATCCCCCATCGCCGATACAATGCATGCTCAAATCACCACCCCTCCCAACCAAGAATCAGAAGGCACCACTACACGTAGGTTTCAGGTCCTGGCCCAATGTCGAAGTAGCACAGCACTTAGCGGCCTTCAATTGCTCAAAGCAAAGGTCCGTGAGATCAGGAGTACTGGTCGGTGCTCGGCTGGCTATAGAGTGGGATTCAGTCAGCTGAAAAATTTACCTTCGGAATAATATAACTGAATTGCTAGTTAGTAATCACTTACGATCAGTGCAGTAAGAAACACCGCCGTCTAAGTAATCATCCACACAGCACTGAGGGCTAGTACCATCAGGACAGACGGATTGAGCAGCGGCGAGGCTGGATACAGTGAGGAGAAGGGCTGTGAGGATGGTTTTCATCTTGAGAGTATACTAGTATCAAGGAAATAAGAGAGAGAAGGCAGAGGAGGAGGAAAGGAAAATGAGGAGGCTGGAGAGATTGCAGTGGTTGTAATTCGGACACAAAGATACATTAAATAATGGCAGCTGGAAGAGCAGAGTCTCGAACTCATATAAAAACCCCAACAATCCTACTTGGAAAAGGGATAACCAAATATGCCCATGTCGCTTAAGCCTTTGGCTGGCTGAATGTGCATATTTGGGTTGATTTTCAACCTACGAATGTAATCATACCTGCCTATCACCATGTAAGGGTTCGTGCATGTATTGCTTTCCTGCCGGAAATACATTCCTCAACGACATAAATGGTCTGGATAGGTCATGCTGATGACCTCGGGGACATTTCTCCGGTTTGCTAAATCCCCAATAAGCATGTCCCAAGGGGTTTTGACGGAATGCGGAGTAACTAATCGCAGCACTGTGGTCAGATATCCATGGAATTAAGTTCTTATCATCTATCACTACTTCCATTGAATTCCATTGAGAAGCTGCATGAGTAATGGTGGATGCAAAATGCTAGGAGATACATTGTAATCAGTTGCTACAAACCTCGCCTTAATCACCCAGTCCTATCCCCCAATGCCAGTACAAGCGCACTCACTCCTCCCAATTCTCCAGCACCAACTGTCAATCAGCTGAAGGCGGAACTACACACAGGATACTGGTCGCCCAATGTGGAAGTAGTACAGCAGTAAGCTTCTTTATTCATTTGCTCCTCACAAGCGACAGCAAGTTCAAGAGGGCTGGTTGCTTCTCGGGTAGCTATGGAGGGATTTAGTACTGAGTTAGCCAGACATACCTCCATAATCTATGGTCTTAACAGCAATTACTAGTAGTACTTACGATCCGTGCAGTCTGAAACTCCGTTGCTCCCGTAGCTGTGGTCACTAAGGCAGCACTGGGGGGTAGTGCCATCGGGGCAAGCAGATTGAGCAGCAGCGAAGCTAGAGGCAGCGAGGAGGAGGGCTGTAGTTGTGATGAAGGTTTTCATTTTGGAAAAGTAAAGTCTTGAGACACACTGATAAGATAGTAAAATTGGGGAAGACAGAGGTGACAAGAATTAGATTATAATGAGGAGTCCACTGATGAATGAGTAATGAAAGGGTAAAGTAAGTAGTAGCCGCTGGAGAGCCTAGTTATAAAACTCTGGTAGGGCAGGGGGAAAGGTCGTTAGTATGCATGTATGTCTCTGGGGGTCTTTGGTTGGGACGCGTGAGCATTTTTGTTTTGAACTCTATTTTGAGAGATACTTTTTGCTCTACTATGACATATGTTTATTTTCTAATAACCCAGAGAACGCTACTACTTACTTATTTCGTGTATGATGAGACATCTGCAATCTATAAACTAAGAGATTATAGGTGTGCGTCCTCTTCAGAGAGTTTGTCTATGTACTGCTTTCTGCTGGAGGTACACATTCTTGACAGGAGCTAATAATGTGGTAACCATGTAGCCTATCATATCAATGACGTTAGGGGTATATCTCCGGACTAATGGCTGGCTGTCGACGGAATGCGGAGTAACTATTAGTGACGGTTTTGAGGGTTAGGGATCTACAAAGAAGGTGACAATATCATTTGATATTGAGAAGCTGCATGATGAACCATGGTGGGTGCAGAATAGAAAATAAAGTGTCCTAGTATAACTACTTTGTGTATAATTATATCCTGATACAAATAGTATTCCAAAAGCGTTGTTACAACCAATTAAAAGCAAGATACCTGCTCATACTAGGGTCAAACTGTCTGTGCCTTGTACCACCTGTCAAAGCAAAAGAAATCTTGAAAAGAAATCTACTACTTATCAATATGAAACCCTAGAATCTATACTTTGATCAACTCAGACCTATACTTTTCCACACTACTGAACACCCAATTCTGATTGATCTTCTGCCCAACTGTAGAGCAAAAAGAAAAAGAAAGAAAGTAAGCTAGCCATCAAACAAATGTACCATGCCCTATGCAATTCCCCAAATCAATTGAATTTACACTAATAAACAACGTCTCCAAACTACTTCAAACCGATCACCAACGAGTCTACAATAAAATTTCCGAGACCAAGATCTTCGTAAAAGGGTCTAATATAACAAGTAGTAGTAGAAAGACGACGCCCCATTCGAATACATAAGTAAATAAACAGTCTACCTACACCAACCCAACCTCCCCTCCCCAATAGTGCCATGCAATGCGATACACGCCCATCCCAAATCCAATCGCAATACCCATTAAGCACCTATCACCGGAGTACAGATATCCTCCTGAATAACCATAGCATTTTGACAACACCGAGCCTTCTTCTGCTCTTTTTCACAAATGGAGTTGAACTCGGCTATGCTGGTAGGGGTTGTGTCAACTATAAAAACGATAGGCAGTTAGTTATATATATATATATGATACTAATACGGCAAGCAATCACTTACGTTCTCCACAGCTCGAATGAAATAGGCCCGAGGCATCGACATTGCAGCACTTAGGGGTGTTGTTCTCGGGACAGAGGGATGAAGCGACGGCGAGGCTGGAGGCCGTGGCGAGGAGGAAGGAGATGGCGAAGGTCTTCATTTTGAGGTGGTGGCGAGAGGTTGAGAGGAAAAATTGAAGAAAAAGGAGATAGTGGTGGTAGTTATTAGGATGTTAGGTCGACTCGATGAATAGTAAATGAATTGATGAGTTGCAAGAACAGATCGGGGAAATATGTTGGGCTTTAAAATAACCTCCTTTTCGATAGCATATTTGCCGCATGGGGCATACGAGCCCCCAGAGCTGAAAAAGTCCTCGACGAAGAAATGGGCATTTCTTGGGTGAAATCTAAACTTACTTTAGTAGTGTATCCAGGTTAGTATACACTGGGGATGATCTTGACGAGTATCTCAGAGATACATAACATGCATGAGTCAGTTACTTATTTGGTAGTAATGATCAGTTAGTAGTATATTAATGTGCGATGATGGAAGACATTGTGCATTTACTGCCTACTATATACATCTTAATCAGATAGTACTAATGTGGTAACGAAGTAGGTCATCATGTTCGATGTCTTCAGGAGAATATTTCCGAACTCATCTCCTAGTTGATCCGTCCTGAATTGCGGCCGACGGAATGCGGAAAACCCAATCTCAAGATTTACAAGGCTAATTTCCACTAGTTTCAATATTATCATACTGATTGACAACTAGCTGCATGAAGAACCCACTATCACGAATCGTGATGGGTGCACATTGTCGATTTGGGGAAATTGTATCACTTGAAAAGCGTCCTACTGTAAAGCGCTACTACTACCAGCCACTACTAGAAAGACACCTGCTGTTCTTGAGTCATTACTTTAGTAGTATGTAGGCATCATGCCCAAGTAATCTCAAATGCCGCCCAAGAGATAAACAGTACATGCTTATGCAAAAAATCATGCCCTGATCGAACTATTCAAATGCCAGTTTCAAATACTGATGCCAATCGTAAATGCTATATAAGTATGAGCCACCCAACCCACCAAAACGCCCGTCTCTATCTTATATACAACCCCCAGATGCCCTCGAAGAAAGTAACCAAAAGCAAAATCCCAAAAACGGCAATAACCAGTGCACCTTTGCTCGCCAACATCGATACCCGCAGTCAGAATGATGACAAATGAACGAAAGAAAATAACCAAAAGAGTGATGGAGGAAGGACGTAACAGATCCTATAGGTATAACAACATGAGATTGACAATATATGCAAAAATTTGGGTATGGTATCGAGCAAAAAGGCAAGCACAGCACATGAAGGCTCAAATCATGGAGAGAAAACAGTGAATTATATACGGGGTGAGTTGCGATTTGCCTAGGCTCTGACGCGTCGGGCGTCAAAGTATTTTAAACTCACGGCAGTGTCGTTCATTCCGACAATTGGAGCAGCGTCTTCGAGAAGTTCCCAGGGGCGGACCGGATACGCGCCGAGAACGCGACCACGGTACTGCAACCGAAGGTGGCTTGCAATGCAATTGACACCTTCAGATAGCCCAGCTGGTAGGCCCGACGCTGAAGAGAGGCTCTGTGAATTGGGAGGCCCGCCAGTAAGATTACCACTCGGTGTTGGGGTTGAACCACCGGCCGCAGGAGATGGTAGAGACGCGGGCTGGGATGAGTTAAGCGTTGGTGCATCCATCACGGGCCCGAGAAGATAGAGGAACCGGGAATCGTTTTGGAATTGAAGAAAAGGAGGGCATTTCTCCTTGAGGAAACGGGCACATTGTTGTCGTGCTTCGTCCGGGAATGTATCAATCAGGGCTGCTGCAACGTCCAAAGCGTGGGTCTGTAGTAGAATCCCAGGACATGGGCGGTAGCTTTCCGACTGCACAGGATGAGGGAAATAATTCGCTGACGGGTAGAGGCGAATAACTCGGTCCGGGAGACGTGCGAGAGTGATGCAAAAGATAGAGACCAGCATGCGAGCTTGTTCTTGGAGACCGATTGGTTTAGGTGTTAGTGCCGCCGTATTGAATGCTGATCTGTGGATGACGACGAGTCTGAGCAGAGCTGAGAACCAAAATGCAAGGCTTCTTTCGAAGTTCGAGCGCGCCTGAGCTATCTGACACGACTCTGCGGGAGTCGACGGATTTGGCTGCAAGGTGATGAATTTCTGGAGAAGCAACTCCATTTTTTCCACCAACATTGGCGCAACAGATGGTACACCCGTTTCAGGAATACTATATGCTAGCTTTTCAATGATTGCCAGATAAAGCCGAGCGGTTTCAATGGAGTTTGACTTGTCTGCCACTGTAGGATCGCCGACAGGCTCTTCCAGGATAGGAACAGAGAAGAAGCCCTTTTCAGCTCGCTCGCGGATCTGCAACAATCAGCGAAGATGAAACAAAAGCAAAGGGTTGGCTATTCTCATACCTGTCGCACCGCATCCTGGTTCATCAAACTCACCAAACCGTACCAGTGGGAACGCTTTGAGCGAGCATCAGCCATCGCTGCCTTGAACATCACATCCACGATACCATTGTCGACTCCATTCCCAGCCTCTGCATTAAATAAAAGCTGGAGCTTCAACTGACAGATAGGGAGCGAGAAGTCATTGTTCATGCCAATGACTCTCTCAGCCTCAGACATAGCCTGGGGATCTGGAATGGTATTAGCCTAGACCTAACAGGCAGGGAACTGCAAACAAACCTTGTGGATTGAAGCTGAGTAAAGCATCGAGAGCCTTTTGTAGGATCATCGTGGATGCCGGATCTTGGCCAACTAACTTTTGCGTACAACATTGTACCATGCGTTCTGGTTTCTGTGTGAGTAGGGTTTGTAGCAAAAACATGGCGCACTTTGTTAGGTCTGCCGCGTTCGCTTCACCCGCACTTCCTGTCTGCCTAGTACTAATCAGTGGCACAGCAGCACGGATGATATTGAGGCACTCTTCGGGATGCTTGTCAATGAACTCTTGTTGCGCTAGATAGTAGCGGTACGTGACCTAGACAGAAGGGTTAGACAAATGCAGGGCATGCTTCAGGACTAGCGGAGGGAAATGAGGGTGCGTAGCTAGAAGCAAAGTGACAATGCATACCATATCTGTGTAATGGCTCCCGCTCGGCTCTGGTGGAACTAGGAGTTCAAGAAGATCCAGCTGCAGATCCGTGACTTTGGGGACTACGGAGGCTATCCTTTCCGATTGCAAAAGCTTCTTCACAAGCATCACGAATGCATGTATGGTAACGCAACCAACGCCGATAAGAGGAGGTAGGACACGGACCATTGCGAACTGAGAAGGTGACTTTAAAACACCACATACCCAGCGAACCAGCCTGGCATCGAACCGCTTAGGATGGAATGATCTCAGGTAGGCCAGGTACCTGCATATGTCATTCGCCGACAGTTTGACGTGACCATTCTCGTTTGCCAATGCCCCAGTCAATGAATTGAAGATAGAGTCCATAGTGGATTCATCCATTCCCCCTCCGGAGAATAGGATCTGATCTAGCTTCTCCTGGAACGAAGAGTCGGCGTCATTGAAAGCCATGGAGAGATTGTCCGACAGCGGAGATGGTGCAGCTAGGGCGGACTTGTTCTCAATACGAGACAAATCTTGACGCAGAAGAGCAACGGTGTTGAACTCGCTGGGCATCCGTAGCCCCAACTCGATCAGTGAAAAGATGAGATCTAAACCGGGCGCTCCAAGCCTCTTGAGGCGAGCATAGGACTCAACAAGCCCTTTGAAGAGATCTGTCGCAGCACCAATAACACTCAAAGAGTCGAAATGAAAATTGATGGTATCAGCAACGGAGGCCAGAACAATATTGTCATCGCAGTTTGTCGCCTGCTTGAGCACGTCGGCAAGCATCGAGATATCTCCAAAGCTTTCCAGTACGTCGCGGATATTATAAAACTCGACGGGAGTGAGCGCAGAAACACCCGAATCAGCAAGCATGGGTATATGTGCATATTTCCTAGCAGCTGTTAGGACCTGGGCATACTTCAAGGGAGTGAAATCAGTGTACCTGACTGGATCACGACAGTGTCCAGATACTCCACGACGAATCCACAGTCCAATCTCGGATTTGACTGCCCATGTCAAACTCGAGAATGGCTGGTCGGTCAACATTGCATCACTTGCCTGTGGCCCAAAAATTTTCGGAAGGCGTTGAGCGATAGACGCTTTGACAGTTTCAACAGTTGATTCCTCATGTGAAGCAGTGATTCCGGCGCGACTCAACAGCGTGTTGCGGAGGTTACGGACATATTCTGGCAAACGGGCCAATGGAAGTTGTATAAGAAGGCGCACGTCGGCCGAAATAGCCTACAGTTCACTTGGTCAATATAATCGTCAACTAACGCTAGAAGAGGCATCTGACCTTATTTTGATCGGGTAAAGGATCGTTCGCTACCCCTTTCGCCATCAGCCACTGTAGGTACCTGCCCACAGAGAATGTCTGAGACCGGACAAGTTCGGCGATTATATGATAGACATTGTCCATATTGACGCGACTGGTTATCTGAGTGTCCGCAAGGAAAGCGAGAATATAAGATTCAACATCCATTCCCGACATCTTCCACTTCCGAAGCAGGCGAACACTCGTATACACGCGGCGGGACCCATGACGAAACGGAGTCGCTGCCCACTCAAGTAACTTCGCGACCAGAGTAGCCTTGTCTTCCACGGCGTTCAAGCAGGCCGAGGACGTGGACAAAACATCATGTGCAGACCGTATGGAATCGAACAAATGAATGACATGTTGCTGAGGCAATTGTTGAGTCGTCCCTTGGTGGTTAGTGGGCAACTGAACTCGTACGTTACGCTCCGCAAGGTTCTGAAGTGTTGTCTTGTCAGGCAGTTCCTTCAGATTCAAGCATGAAGCAATCAAGTCCTTGTATTTATCCCAGGATGCCGGGAGGATAACGGAGGACGTGTGCTCGAGAACCAATCTCCTGATGCATCGAGATAAACGATCAACTAACGGTTCCAGGGCTGTAGATTGTCCTGGCTGCTTGATCTGTTACGCTAATTAGCTATGAAATATAAGCATGAAATTGAGGAGCGCACCAAACGCAGCTTCTCCAGTAACACCTCAGCCAATCGTCGACCACGCTTCCGATAGCGCATAATATTGTTCCAATATATACCGAGCATTAAGAGCCACACAGGCACGGTGTTTAGTGGCGCAGCCTCTAAAGATACCAAGAACCAACTGAGATATTGGTCGTGGTCTAGCAGTCGCTCGAAGAATAAACGCGATGTTAAGCTGACACTATGAAGGGTAAGTAAATATGTAACGGGAAAAGAAAGGTATGGCGTACGCATATGTCATCTTCATCTTCCAGTCTGATGATCCGCAAGTACCTATTACGCTTTCAAGGAACTGCTGGACAGTTGATGTCCAATCGCGGACCCATTTGGTCTCGAGGCCCAGAGCGAGCGTCCCGCTCGTGCCCTTTCGCTTGAAAGCACGGATTTCGTTAGCCCCGACACATCGGGCCAGCCATATAGCTCGCGGAACCGGGATTCCTTTGCCCAGACATTGATCGAGCAGCACCTTGCCTCGAATACCATGGGGGATAGTCCGGCTCAGTCTGCGCAACGGGACGGACGGATTGGCAAGATCCCGAAGCCAAGCTTCACGTTTGTTATCTGTCAAGGTGACGCGCGGGGGAGGTTTGAAGCTCGACGGAGTAGCGATCGTGCTATGGGATTGGCGCTTCTCGAGAGCAGCGGCGAAAACGGACGACAGCATCTGAAGACCCGATCGATGCTTCAACTGCGCGTACAGAGATGGACGGGCGGTATTAGACTCGTTTTGCGAGACCTGCGTACGATCGTAATGTCCTTGTTTTGCAGTATGGTCATTCAGCGTATCTTCCGGGTGGTTGCCCGTCCAAGGGGAAAAGTCCGCGACTCCTAAACCAAAATTATGCAATTAGACGACTTCTTACATGCGGATAATCGCGCGGATCGACTTACTCTCCCCTTTCAGTTTTGGCGCAACAGGGGGTACGACAATACGATAGGGAGTTGTTTGCACTTCCTTTGTAGAGGCGACATCTGCTGGTTTTGCGCTATTGCTTCCGGAGGCTTCTTGCGGAGCGGGCTTCCAAGGAATGAGAGGTAAAGGTGGCGGCGATGCAGGGGTTTTCCCCTGAGGATTGGTATCATCTTCCTTCGCTTCCACAGCTCCAGTCGTCTCCGAAATCAGAGCCTGGAACGACCATACTGGTCGACCGCGCCAGGCAAGCGGATTTGGTTTCGAACTTCCGGTCCCTGGGGTGCTTCTCGCTTCTCCACTTCCCGGAGCTGGACTTCCCTCAGGTGGACATGATCCCGGAGGCGCATCTAGTTTGAGTCGTTTCGCAGGGGGCTCCCGGTCCTGAGAGTCGCTGGTATTCGCGGTAAGGTCGATGACTGCCGGCTGTCGGGGTAGCGGTTGCGGCATGGACATTGACAGCTTCTCCAGCTGCGGGTCGGACTGAACCAGAGCTTGGGAAGCATCAACGCGTCCTGAGCCGTTATTGAGGGCGCGCAGGGAACGGCCCCATGGCTGGACGCCGGCGGAAGAATGAGGTATCATGTCAGCTTCATGGTGTATCCAAGCGTCGGGATCTGATCATTGGCACCGCGCCGTCACGACGGCTACACGACTATCCTCAGGGATGGTCACCGGACGCTTGTGATGTGGATTGGTGATGTGCCTGATAGAACCAGGACCGGTATACTACACATTCGATCCTTTCAAATTGAATCTGGTGCGGTTAAACGAATCGAGGAGCTGGGTGGAGCGGCTATGGGGTGGAGGAGACGGAGGTTAAACCCCGGTAACCGTCGCGGAACTGAGAGTTTCGGGGGGGCAAGGCGGAAAAGGTCAATGGATCCGATGGCGGAAGAGATGGAAGCGAAGACGTCCAGCGGAAGGGGGATAGTATAGGAAGGAAAGCAGATAGAAGACCAAGAAGGAAGAAAGAAGAAGTAAAGTAGAAGAGAAGGAGAGATAGACCAGGAAAAAGCCGAAGACGGTGGCCGAAGAGAGCGAATCTGGAGATAACGTAAGGAGGACCAACTGGCACCTGTATGACCGACCTACCCAAGAAGGAAGTCGCAGTAGCCCGAGAGGGGGCAAGGATTACCGGCTCGAGACGGTAAATTATCCGGCTGACGGCTGCCAGTCCGCGTGGTGCAATACCGCTGTAATACCGGCTATGGGGGAGAGGGGGGGGGATCCGTATTTGCATTTGATGGATCCTCTTGAATTGATGATCGGAGCCAGCTTATCCATAGGCTAATCCGAGGGCTGATAACTAAACTAGTAGTAGTAAGTATGTAAGTACTCCGTAGTTATCCCTGATGGTTGGGGCTAATAATACCCACAGAATACCTACATTGTACATATTCTAGTAGTAGTCAAGGCCCGGAGTATCTACGGTGTTCCTGCTGCTGAATATCTAGACTGAAACCAAACTAATTCCTGACTTACTGTACATATTCTTTTTTTGTTTCTGTGCATCTTGCCTGATCGACCCGACTCTCCCTCCCCCAGGCTTCCCTCTCCGCATTCAGCAACTGACGCCGACTGACTCAATCCATGAAGAACTTACTCACTAACCAGAAGATTGTTTGGGTCTGTCGGATGGCCTAGTCCACCGCAAGTGATCACGCTATTCGGTAAATCTATCAACCAATCCTGAATCGATCATCTTGGCATCAGATGATGGGGGTCCCCTTCATTCGGATGATTCTGAACCTGCAACTCGACGCGATTACCTGATGATATCGCGGCATATCGCCCCATTCTTCCGCCAGTGGTTAGCAGGCTAGGATCGGATGAAAAATGGAAATTCCCAGGAGCCACTTGAATCAAGAGATAGGGACCATGGCGAGGCGACTCTCCGTGCCTAACCCAACCACAGCCATCTTAACTCCGCAGATCGGCCCGTTTTAAGGGCGATCCCTGCTCGACGGACAGTACTTTGGGATTGAATCCCAACTTGTTTGCGACGCCTTACAGTAGTGACCCTCCCCCGGGGATTTATCTGTGATGCGCAATCTGTGCGGCGTTTGCAAGGTAATAGAATCTTGTCATGTTCCATCAACTCTACCTGTAGCACACACAAGGTGATACGTGTGCGATCTCCCTGGAGAGGGAGGGGCGAGGGATATTAATTTTCCCTGACTGTCACGATCGAACAAACATACGGTGAACAATTTTCAACTATCCGATTCAGTATCCCGACTAAGACCAACCCTAGATGGAGACTATTCAAACTTTGCCTGAAGCACACTTCCGTCTCTTCCTTCTCCAAGACAATTTTTTACCCTAGTTTTTCTCCTTGAAACCCACTCTCCATCACCCTGTGGGCCGTTGGATCAAGGGGATCCCATTCTCTCGGATTCCTCCAGTCTTCTCCTGCCTAAGCGCCCCGAGCCCCGTCGGGAAGATCCATTGCCGAAGGATGTTAGACATGTGTCATGATATTATTCTTCTTGACCATCCCCGTCACTGCCATCTCCCATCTGCCATCTTCAAACGTCCGGCTGTGGGATGCACCCCCTCCACAGTGGCATGACACTGCGTGGGAGACTGTGAGGACCGTATGACTATGCCGTCTGATTCCAAGCTTCTCCGCATCTTAAGTGGCACATCGCTGTAGATCTTCCATGACCTTTTAGCCTGTAGATGGATAGATATAGTGTTTTGATTGCCTTCAGGTCGCCACAATTCCTCCGGACCTTTACGCACTAGAGCACCTACGTCTGCCCTGTGCTACTGGGTATCTACTCAGCAGAGATCTCCTGTTTTAAATACGGGGAACAGGGATCCATGTGCTGAACGCACTGGATCATCCCGGAAACTCCGAGCGCACAGACTGGCGCATCACGGGCTGGTACCAGATACTGGCCATGGAGCAGCCTTTCAGTAACACCTATCCTAGCCGCAGGATGCAGTGCAACCCTGGCTGTCCCAGCTCGCAAATGGCCACGGTGAGATGAGCGGATAGGTACACAAGCATGGTCCGGATTAAAATCGGGGTTTGCGAAAGGGGCTGCTCGGTTCTGGACAGCCACGGAATGGGTCCTCCGTCGGAAGCCCAGCCCAACGCCCCCTTATGCACATGAAATAATTAATTGCAAAACAAATAATTATACGCCATATTCTTGGAATAGATAGATAGGTCGTGAGACTCTCCATCTCCTTATCATTTGGCGTTTATTTTTCCAGAAAGCACCGTGCATGCGTGTGTATCTTGCATCGCCCGCCCGGTCAGAATTGGGAGGGTGGTGGTGTTTGCGACACCTGAGCTGATCTTGATTCCAATCGCTGACCGTATCACTGTTGATCGCCCCTATCGCTTAAAGTTAGTTGATCAGAAGTACAGAACAGGCTGACCTGAGTGTCTGATACGGCTCAACCCGAAGATGGGTGATCTCCGAAGGGACTCTCTGTCTGGTCCCTCATCTCTACAGCTGTCCTCCAAAGAGACTAAGTACGCTAATCTTAAGGTGCCCGGCCTCGGAGCTAAGCGGTCACGCTTCTTGAGTGTAGTTTGATCGATATAATTCGCTAGTCCAATAGTCAATATAATGCGTAGCATTCGTTAAGAGATAGCTAGAAGCTAGCTCTGATTGCGATCGTCTTTCGGTCGCCAATGCGTTCGCGAACTCATAATGGGATAATCTAATGGGACAACTTATCATCCGGGGGAGATAAACCTCGGATCCGGGCAGCCTTTCCACTTTGGTCTTGGCGTCACGCATCGCTTGGTTGGCCTGTTCGCCTGTCTCTCAACCTGAACGAAGGTACCTATTTCACGGCCTGTGCAGTAGCCTCGGAGTATCAAGCGACAAGATGGCATCTAAGAAGGATATGCGGAGGTTGGACCTCGGTAAGTATTACGTCCTACTATCAAAATATTCAGCTTCCGATTTTGAGCGTGTGTTCGCTGACGTCGACGTCGACTACTAGCCATCCCCTACATTGACCCTCCCAAGAGCAAGGATGAGGCCGACATGTCTAGTATGTGACGAATGGATGATAGATTACATTGTGGATGAAATAGCAAGGACAATGTGCTGATTGCCCGGTTCAGGCGCCATGTCTAGCACCATGCCTATGGCTGCGGTAAGTCGCGGATTCCGATCTGAAGACATTGTGCCCGTTCAAGCTTCAGACGCGCTAATACCTACGACAGATGTTCACCAGGAATAGGTGAGCGCAAGCTCTATTGCCTCAATTGTCTGTGTGAGTATATTCTAACAAAGCTCGCGCGCGCAGAATGATCGGATGGTAGGTCAACAGCATCTCCAACGTTTCAACGGCTGGCTAACTTGAGTCAACCCAGGGTCTCCTTTGTCTTCTCGCTTCAGTCCTGGCTCGGTGAGACTCCAGACCAGAAGAGAACTGCTTCGACTCCGGCCTACATGTCCGTCTTGATGTCCTGTACGTGTATACATTCTGCCCCCGTTACAAGGGACTTGTGAACTAACTGCTGCATGCGCTTATAGTGATGGCTTTGGTGGTTGTATGTTGCCAGAAAATCCCGACGAACGATAGGATCTTCTCTAATGTGCCTTCTATAGACCTACTTCCCCATCTTCCTGCCTCCCCAGAATGCGCGCGCTGCCCCGGGCGCTACTGCTTCCACCACTCCTTCCCCTTAAGCGACAACCGTTTCTGTGATACCATTGCCGACGAGTTTCGATACACTATAATACCACGAAGTTTTTCAGTTCGCATTAAAAAAGGAAGAGTTGAGAAGTTGGGTTTGACGGTAGTAGAAAGAGGAACGACTTGAACAGTCCAGAGCCCTTCGGCCACCTGTCATTTACTTTTCTGTACAGGGCGAGATTGTGATGCTGTATGAACATCCTAATACCTCAATTGCCATAATATCATCATTATCTCTTTAGAGTAGCCTGAACCTAGTCTGACTACCAAAGTTACCGTGGCGAGCTTGGAATGCCGTACTAGCCGTCCATAACACATTGCAGGGGTCCTATGTCTCAGGCTTCGGTGCACGTGTATGGCATGAGCTTGGCATGACGGATTCGCTATGTAAATCATATGCTAGACAGCAATAGACAAGCTCAACACTGCGTAGAACCTACGTATGTATGAGGGGAGCCCGGGGAAAACGGAGGGAGGGAGAGGAGAGAGCCCTTGGCGGTTGCCACCGATGTCCAATCAGCGCCCCGATTTGGAAACCCAATTATAACATTTGTCTAGAAGCGCGACGCCTCTTCAGCCCGCCAAAAAGCTAAAGGGTAGCAATCAGAATGAACCTTGAACCTAAGAGACGGGCCAGTCATGGATGGAACGTACCAGATCACCGCGCTGGAAGGGGGAGAAGAGGGCTTAGTCACGGGCACACCGCCTTCCCCCACAAGGGCGCTAAGGCAACGCCGCGCCCCTCAAAAGGCTCTTCTGTTCTTCTTCCTGTTTCCTTCCCGACCACCACCTCATCCACTTTTGAACCTCCAACTCCAAGTCTCCCAAGACTCTACGATCACTTCGATTTCCACAGAGATCTTAATTCTCTCCCCTCGCTCACTTCCTATACACCGCTTTTAAGGGCCGTTTACGACGAAAGGCCGAGTTTATGTCCATCGAAAACCTTAAGACCTTCGGTGAGTCGCTTCGCCACCTCTTCCCCCCCCTTCTGTGGACATCGTCCCAGGCGCCCGCAGCACTGCCCGCAGCAGATGTTGGTCTTCCTGCGATGGTCTTTCGAAAAGATCATTCTGAAGTAGACTCTGTCTGCTAAGGCTTGGCTGTGTAGCCAGGGTGGTCCTTTTTGTCCCACTGCGTCACAAGTTGGCGGGGTAATATTTGGTCATGAGAGCCTGAGGCTGACACGTGCTCTTCCACAGACCCCTTCGCCGAAGCTGACGAAGACACCGGCGAGACTAAACAGTCTCAAAATTACATCCATATACGGATTCAACGTACGTGCTATTGTTGTCCCTCCCACGTGGTGCCTTCACCCCTGTCATCGTCGCTGGTGGCGCCACGCTATCTCACCATCCACCTATGACTAACACGTATTTGTCCACAGAGCGCAATGGTCGTAAGACCTTGACTACCGTCCAGGGTCTTCCTAAGAAGTTCGATCAGAAGAAGATCTTGAAGGTCATCAAGAAGAAGTTCGGTATGTTGTCGCCTACTACCTACCTGCATCGCCATGTCACTAACATACCCTTTCAGCCTGCAATGGCACCATCGTCAACGACACTGAGATGGGAGAGGTGATTCAGCTGCAGGGAGATCAGCGTAAAGATGTTCAGGAGTTCTTGACCGACAAGAAGGAGGGTCTCGAGCTGGACGCCAAGACCATCAAGGTCCACGGTTTCTAAGCCAGACGCCACGCCCCCGTTCCGGTCCCTTCTTCCCAGTCTACGTTTCCCTCAGAGCGGTGCGGCAGGGGACAGTATATGTCCACCTGCCCTCCTTCTGATGTGGCATTGCGGTCCCCGCCACTGCCACGAGGGTTGTTCGGTCTAATATATTGTCTGCTGCTATTACCGCTCTTTGCCCGGAATACTGGACTTGGGCCTTTTGTCGAATTGATGCACTATCAAGTTGGTCATCTTTCCATTCGCGACTAGGCAATGGAAAGAGGCCCAGTGGGTCTGGCTTCCCTGACTCGACTGCTACATCTGGAATGGGATAATGACGGAACAAGGCGTTGGTAGATACCCAATATCTTCATAGATGATTTACTTCTTCTGTTTTCTACTTCTTCTGTGTCGTGTCTTTTGCTTGGCTTCGTGTGGCCACCAGTACGTGAAAGGACAAATTTCGGCCTGCTTTGTTGCAAGGGTTGAATAAAGGATGGGGAGGCTTGGTCTCGATCACTCGTTATTCTTTAAATGTTCTGATCGTTGGTGTGTTGCATTACCGCCTTCAACTGTCATTACCGTATCCTTGCTCGAGAATGAATTTTCATTCCTGGCGGAATGGTTTGATGAAATATTTTTTTTAGCCTTTTCGGTTCCAATCTTTCTTCCTCCTACTCTAATCTTCGTAGTTGTCGTATTCTTAAGCAGTTTTACGACAATGTCTTCTAGGAAAGGGAGTACACAGTCGCTGTGTCGTAGATTTAAGCTATTTAGAATGTTGTTTTTGCGCAAGAGGGTACACAATTGGAATGATAGCTAGTCTATGGAAGCAGGCATTGCGCCGCGGTACATCTGTCGATAAAACTAATCCCTTCTAGCTTACAATTCCCCAAGTGGAGCCCGCCCATCCGACACTCGCATACGAAGGAAGATAGCCACCGCCCAATCCCAAAGCTTACGGGTAATGACGAAGACGGGCACTTCGGGCTCATTCTCACGCGTCAGATGCAACTGAAGGAGAAGCGATGACATGCTGACGAAACTGGCCACAGCCACGACGAGAAGTGCAGCTGCGGTTTCACGCTTGATTGTCGCGTGATTCTGGGTAGCATGGTAAAGGAAGGTAAGGGTCTGATGTGGAAGAAAGAAAGGGAGTTAGTTTGACACATTCCGATCATCTGGTGAAATTATGCAATGAGGGTTGAGTTCAGGAAGCTTACAGTGGTAATGGATATCCAGGCGGGTAAAAGACAACGGGGGTCGGATGAAGCTCCGGAGAGGTAGAGGACCCAAGAAGTGATATAAGCAATCAAACCGTTTGTAGTAAGGAGACGAATAACAACAGCTGGTGGGGTATAGTTCAAAAGCCTGGGGAGGTTAGCGGTAGATCACATGAATGTTAGGATCCGAGGTTGCATACCATCGAGACATCATACAATCAGCAAAAAAGTAAGAAAGATACGCGGATGCACTGCACTGTAATCATAGTTAGACCTATTCTCCCAATGTACAATGCTCGGAGAAGAGAGGAGAGATAGTCACATACCCACATAATAGCCAAGGCCACCTCTGTTACCCGGAATCGTCTTTCGACATCCCAGTCTTGACTAACACTCCCGACAATCGCCGCCGCCCACCCCTCATGTCCTATGCCTGGTCGAATATGCAACAGTTCGGCCAGGAAGGTGAAAGCACACCGGAGCCCCCACCACGCGGCGGGCACGGTGCTCAGCGCGCGACAGATCAGTAACGGCAGGTACCATTTCCGATCAACTCCTAGAATGACGGCCACTCGGGGATGAAGGGCAGAAGGGACCGAATGACCAGCATCGTTGATACTAGGAGTGGGGGAGGTGGAGGAGGCCGGGGAGGGCGGAACGACGGTCGAGGGGGCGGAGGAGGGGGCCACGGCTTTATCGTTGGAATCCACTTTTGAGAGTATGGAAGCCAGAGTAGTATAGAATGAGGAGTTGGGGGTCGTGGGAATGGAATCCGACAGCGAAGCAATCAAGTCAGGTTCAGGAGAAGACGACCGGGCATGAGACGTTGAGAAGGATGGAGAAGAAGCATCACGATAAGGAGGAGCCAGCCTTAATACCCCGGCATATGCGGCCGTCACGCAAATATTACCCGAATAAGCGGCAGGCAGATCCGACGAGAAAGAGTCGTTGGTGGTAGGTCCAGAGCTAAATTGTCTCTGATCGGACCCCTAAGCGGTATAGTACTAGATTCTCTGTTTGGTGCACGGCGAAACTCCACGAAACAATCAGGTAGGCGGTGCTATGTCCGCGGCGGTCGGTAATGCTTGGGAAACGCAACGGAGGGCAAGTCCGAATCAATGAGCACACGCTCCTCCTGTCGTTCGAGAGAGAAGGCCGAGAAATGACGCTGGGGGAGATGCACGACAGGCGGGAAAGTGCATGGGAAGAACTTCAATCAAAGTGAAGCCAAATCAGCCAAAAGGCGAGTCTCGCGGCGGAGAACCACCCGCCACGTGACCCCGGGGCCGCTCGGCGGAATTTCTTTGGCTTCGTTTTCGCGCTTCATCTCTTGCGTCCAGTTCTCCCCCGGCCTCTGCGTCTTGCTCTGTCCCGTCTGTCGAGGTTTTCCCTCTGGCCGCTACTCTCGTCATGGCGTCCTCGCTGTCCAAGGGCCCCGTTTTCTCGGCCATTCGATCCAGCAACGCTCCCTTCTCTGCCTTCCACTCCGGTCCGGCCATTGCTACACCATGCCAACGCCGATACCTCTCCCAATCCTCCCAGCGCAGTGCTGGCCTCCGCGGCATGCCTCAGAACATCTCCATGCCATCGCCCGCTCAACCTAGTATGCGAACTCGGGGTAGGGGTATGCCTAGGACGGATCTTCCCCAGGATATCGGACTTTTGCCGGGCACCTTCATCCGGCCGCTTTGGAGGGACATGCCCTCTATCTTCCAGCAACCCTCGGAGCGTTTACATATGGAATGGCTGTGGATCAAGTCGGCTTTTCAGAACTTCGTTGGGTAAGTCCCTATCCCTCCAGAACCGCCGCTCAATGGCTGCCAACGTCCGAGCTGCTAACAATATACCAGAATCCTCGCCTACTGCAAATGGCTCAACAAGGGCCTTGCACTTAGACTGAGAGAGCGTCGACAGATTGCTGCTGAATACCACCAGAGGATGTACACTGCATTTGCCGCGTAAGTGTTCAGTCTTCTCGTTCCACCACCTTTCCCTCTCAACAACTCATTAACAATCCTCGCGAAACATAGCGGCGACACTTCTACCCTGCGCAAGGTGTGTTGCACCGGTCTTGCCAACCAGCTGAGCACCCGCATCGCTGCT